ATATTAAAAATTTATAAAAAACGTTCACTGGCTATATAAAGTTAAAACTTTCAGAGCTTTCGGCTGTCGGACTACAGCCTTCGATGGATAAAAAATGGAAAAGATAGCAACTACAAATATATACAAAAATAAGTGGGACTATAAAGAAAAGAATTCCCACCTATTTTTGTATATATTTGTAGTTGTTATCTTTTCCATTTTTTATCCATCGAAGGCTGTAGTCCGACAGCCGAAAGCTCTGAAAGTTTTAACTTTATATAGCCAGTGAACGTTTTTTATAAATTTTTAATATATTTATACACGTTTAGGTCAGTACACACACACACACACACCCAAGCAACCGTTATGCTTAATGCTTTTAATGCTTTTGCGCTAGTGTAAACTAGCCTTAAGGTAAACGGCACGCAATGCATTCAGAAGTGACGACGCTTATTCTTGACGTGGCTATCCTAGACACTGCAGAACAAACTACAAGGTATAAGCTAGGTTAACAAAAGTACCTAAATTTAGTACAAAAAAAAATGACACAGAACAGTGAGCGCTAAATGAATGCCATACTAGAATGATAATACTATTTAAGCAATAGAGCACTTTTTCCGTTTTTGCATAGCTTTATCTAAACACGAGGAGGGTTCGGAGAATCGACTACGTCTCGGATACTCTCATTTAAACACACCTATCAACCAATCAGAGCGCGCGTAGAAACTCAGTTATTTTATAAAGAATAATAAATAGACGGAATGTAGAGCGAAAAAAATAGTAGTAACTGATTGTCAAGTGATAACTTGTAAGGTGTATGGAATGCCGTTTTGATTGATGTGTTTCTTTTATCAGGTATTGGTCTTGGAATGGTGATTATTACCTTCCTCTGCAGTGTTTACTACAATGTTATCATGGCATGGACATTTTACTACCTGTTTGCATCATTCCAGAAGCATCTACCGTGGGAAAGTTGTGATAAATCGTGGAACTCACCGTTATGTCAGTACGTTATGCACGTAAATTAGAATATTTAGAGAAGAAGCCACATCAACCTTAGGTCGCTTTCATGCAGGTCCTCTATCTTCGCAATTTGGAGAAGTTTGGTTTTTGTGGAGAGAGGAAAACCGGAGAACCCGGAGAAAAACCTTCGGAGCCAGGCGAGAACCAACAACACAACAGCAAACTCAACCCACATAATCTCTTTTATGTACATACGGCTGTTTCAAGAAAAGTAGTGTGCAATCACACTTCCTACACTTCCGGCAGAAGTGTGCAATCACACGCAAAAAAACTCAGAACGGTACCACGGCATGTCGTAGTTTACCTGGTTTGCTTTTCTTTTGATCGAAGTTCGCGATGTTTTACAGCTATTGAAGAAAAACCCATGAATACCTGCACTCGTGGTATCTCTTTCCTTCGCGCTGAAGCACTCTGAACTTCGATCAAACAACGCTAAGTCACCACTACCCATGTCATTCCATGAGATAGATATGAGATGATTAGAGCCAACTCATATCCAACGCGCCGCTCGTGGAATAATTGTTAAATATAATGTTGGTACTGTAGCCCTTCAAAAATGGTGATACGTTACATAATTACAGTAAAACAGTCGAAAATCGATTTCAATGAATGTCGAACAATTGAACCAAAATCAAATGCACTTTATATTGCATTTCAGAACAGACCGTAAGTCTCCTCCCGACTGTGTGGCCCTGGGGGTAAATGTTTCTAAAGACGACTGTAAATGGATATCTCCGGAAGAAGAATATTTCAAGTAAGTTAAGAGTGAATTTTTTTAATTAGCAAACATAGCACGGCAGAAGTCGAAAAATTGATTATTCTCTCTTTTCGTCCACAAATAGCCATTAGGTAAATATGAAACGTGATATAGTTTTTTGGAGCTCGAAGCGCTTTAAATTCGAGAAAACCGAGAAAAACGATTTTCGCCTCAACGGTCGCCAAAATGGCCCATGTCAAAGGCTTAAAATTAGTAATCTAAACTTAATTTGCGTTCGCGTGTAAAGGAAAACCAAAACTTATCGATCCTTTTTCTTGAAAGACAAAGTATTCAGGTATCCAAAACAGGTTACAGCTTGACTGAGCGCCAATTGAGAATAAACACACAATTTTTAAAAAAGTCCCTTTCAGTTGCTAGGTCGAATTCCTAATTTACAAATAAAATTCAGAGATATTTTTCGACATGTGCCATAACTCCAAATTCCTTGAAACTTCGCCTTTGGAACCCTTTTATGTTGTTGTAAAACATGTATTAAAATCAGCTTGGGTTATTCTTCGAGTGTTTTTTGAGTCCCGGCTGAAAAACCCCGATTTTACCTAAAACATCCAGCTTGATCAGTTGGAAATCTGCTAACCTGAATGGTTCTCCCAATTTTGCTTATTTAGCAATTAAATCATGAGTTTGAGATTCCCACTAGTTCTCCGCATTTGCATTCAATTTTCAAAACTAGTTTCCAGTACTTTCCAAGGGACTTTTTAGCGCGGGGGAGGGGGCACTCCCAGAAAAATTGGATTCGGTGTGCGTCCCGCTTCCCAGAACCCTTACCCTGTTTATGACCAAAATCTGCCCTATTTATGACTTGACCAAAAATTCGACACCCTATTTATTACCTGACCCTTAAATCAATACCCTGTTTCAGACCTGCCTTATAATTAGTTCCCTGTTCAGACCAATGTTAAACATAATTTATGAAGGGTTTTTGTCGATGGTCTTATCGATAATGATGAAAACGTAGCTTCTTTTTAAAAGAACATACCCATATCAAGACTAGATGGCAAAAGCCTTACCCCATACCCTATTTATTACCAAAATGGCCAAAATCGATACCCTATTTATGACCAAAACAGCTGAAAAACCCTACCCTTTGGGGCCGCACATACCTATATAGCCCATATAAGGGAGTACTTCCCGGGCTTTTTAGCAGGTCATACTGCTGCTATGGTAACCTAATGTGTCATGAACGTGACAACAACGAGTTCAGCAATGATTGGGCAGTTTTTTGATTCCATGATTGTAGCATGAACTGATAACGAGTGGTTAAAATCTTAGTCTTGGAAAGTGTTAGAAACTGTTTTGAGCCACCTAAAGTGAGAATAACAATACAATTTTTTATAACAAGAAACTTGCCGACAACGTGAAAAATTCGTAAATATTTCCATTTTCTTTTACTCCTTAGGCACGATTGAGAAGCTATTTCAAAAACTCGTGCATCGTTTTTGAAATAGAACATCAAAATTTCAGTCTTAGAAAGTGCTAGAAACTGTTTTGAGCCACCTAAAGTGAGAAGTGAGAAAACGTCGCCATTTTGTGGACGACCTCCATTTACAAACAGTAACGGCTGGAAGTGTATAATAGTTTAGCCATTCAGATTTATTTAATGTGCCAAACTGCTCATCGACTGACAAGGATCAAGTTCAAGAGATTATCTACGCCCACAGATCTCCTCACTAACAACAACAACGAACTTTATTTCCCCTCGTACTAATAGAAATATTTTTACAAGGTTATATATTAATAGAGTTAGGGGCCTGGCTACCTTAGTATTCCTTAGTGATTCCTTAGTATTGCATTGCGCATCTCTAATCCGCAGGATTTTCGCGTCATTAGCGCGTGCGCGTACAAAACGTAAGCTCGACAGCGAAATAAATGCTCCTTTTCTCTTAAGCGAGCACGGTGACCCCCACTTTTTATTTCATAATTTCAATGAGAACAATATCGTCAATAACTGAGAAAAAAATTAGCAGAAATCTATGGCTACCTTTTTTGGCAAATAAAATAAATACTACAGAGGGAGACAAAACGGGCCCAACAGTGTATGTCCAAATTATGTTTCCTTTAAAGGATAAAAAAATGCAGGGTAATTGAAGACATTTTTTCTGGGACGTAGATGAATAAACAATCAAAGAAAGTCAAACTCTGCGTCATATAACACGGCATTGAAAAATAATCGAACTTATTTGTTGCGCATTGAGATGACCAAAAGTCACCTAAATAACTGTATTTGTCAGCATTGCGGCGTGAAAACAAGCTCGGTGACCCCCTCTTTATATTACGCTTTTTTTTTTAATATCTCCTTGTCCTGTAACAACACCATACCGAGTTTCATCGGAAATCTATGGCGGGTTCTTTTACTGGGGAATCACCTTAAATAACTAGAGAGTTAAAAAGGGGAGGCAGCCAGATCTACATATGTATTACTGCAAATTTAGGTCGGTACACACACATACAACACAGAACACATCTTTATCTTTATACTGAGCGCTAAATAAGAACTGTACCGCGCTAGGACATTTGGTAATGCTAGGGAGCAATAACGGTTTTGTTTTTCAACATTCAGAGACTCGGGACTACAGCAAATGTTCCAGGCTCTGATAGTTCATACAGGGACTTTTTGCCACTTCTACCAAAGTTCGATTCCTTTTAGTATTAAGATACATTTAAGATGTCGAAGCTCGTTAAATCTTCAGCTTTTTGTCTGTTTCAGCAAAAAGGTTCTTGAAATATCCCCTGGTATTGGGGCAGCAGGTGAAGTGCGCTTTGAACTCGCCATGTGTCTCCTGCTGGGCTGGATCATCGTTTACTTCTGCGTGTGGAAAGGAATTAAATCTGCGGGCAAGGTAGCGTACTTTTTCACCTTTTTATTTTCCTTCTTCAAATTACATGGCAAGATGTTGATCGCAACTTTTTCATTTCTTCACGTCGCTGTAATAGAACTGTATTTACCTATATGTTTAAAATGTTGGAGCTCGTCTTTATGTTCTTCCTTTCAGGTCGTGTATTTCACAGCTACCTTTCCTTATCTGGTTTTGTTTATCCTGTTGATTCGGGGTGCCACGTTGGAAGGAGCAGGAGAGGGGGTTATCTTCTATCTCAAACCAGACTTTTCAAAATTAAAGAACCCTCAGGTAATATGACTAATAAATTTTCGTATTCTATTCCTGTTCTCCTTCAGTATTCTCTTAAATATCTATAGAAACATTACAATAACTGGTGACTGACTACAAAACTTTGGAGTTACCTCAGTCTCCAGACTCAAGCCATACATTTTTATGGTCTTCTATTTATACATATTTTTATTAAACTGTAATGTACCAGTTAATGAATAAAGTCGTTGTTGCTGTTGTTGTTGTTGCTGTTGTTGTTGTATTTGACCCTATTCAGACCTTATTCATGTACTGCTTATTTGAAGCTCGTATTTTAGTCTATTGTGACCAGATACATGTTTGCTTGTCGCAGGTGTGGGTGCAGGCCGCGGGTCAGATTTTCTTCTCGCTCAGTGTTGGGTTTGGCGGGCTTATCACCTATGGAAGCTACAACAAATTTCGCAACAATTGTGAAAAGTGAGTAAACTAATATTTATATTCGAGTACGTCACAGAATACTGCTAGCTGGCTGCTGTTGTCCTTTCGCACTATCAGTCGTTCAATAACCCTTGTGCATCAAACAGTTCATGTATCTTTACAAATTAAAACCCTGTTACCTCGTTCTGCCATGGCATTCCCGTTCTAACTTACTTAAGCTTCTGCAGAAGGAGCTTGGTGTTTTTGGCTCTTCCCTTTCCTCTTTGACTCAGGTCTCCTCACAATGTGATTCAGCCACGTTCGGTTTTCGCTTCAGCACTTCATAGCCGTGGACTCCTGACTCTGCATCGTCCAACGCTGTTGTTTGAGATCTTCTCTGTTCGCGTCATGCTTGTACTGGCCCTTATTATCAAGTGCAATCTTTTAAAGCTATAAATCGTTGTTCACTCCATAGGGATACGCTAATTGTTTCCCTTATCAACTGTGGCACGAGTATCTTCGCTGGTTTTGTCATATTTACTATGATGGGTTACATGAGCCACATACTTGGAGTCCCGGTGCCCGACGTTGTGAAAGGAGGTAAGGCTGACTAGAAACACCTGCGAGGGCAGCCACGCTTTCGACTTAAGCGAGTTTAAGCAAACTACAACAGCAACGATGACGGAGCAGTCGCTAAACAAAAGGTCTCGTGAACAGAACAATGACTTTGCACGTGCGCTAAACATCTTGGTCCATTTTTTAGCTGTCCTCTGCAAAACAACTACTTAGAATGACCAAGTTCTGTGGAACGTGAAACTCAACCACAAAATTTCGTTTATGGATTGATCGCTGTGCTACATACTTAGCTCTGACAGTCATAGACACACCTAATTTTAGTTGCCATTGTCCGGAGCGTGAACATCGCGGTTGCTTAAACTCCCTTTTATGTCGATTAGAACAACATTAATGCGTGAATGTATTAAGCGTCTATTGCACCAGCATAGAATTGTGCATTCGAAAATAATGACTACGACCTTCAAAGTTACACTTTGTTTGAACTAATTTTTTTGATTCAGATACTTTCCAGTCAATCTGCTCGTAGCAAGCTCTGATCCTATGCTCCAATATTTCGTGGAGTGTAGAAAAGGGTTTGAACTGAGCTGAGCTTTGCTAGGAGAGTTATTGGTTCATCCAACGTGATCATCCATGTAAGAGGTACTCTTACTTACGTTTTAAAAATCCTAGAATAAGTCATCTTGTCATCCTGTGTGTCAGGTGATAAGATAATTTAGTAGTACCGTATTTAGCCTATGGCCGTTAATCCGATTGATTAGTATTGTCATTATGAATAAGTAGTCGTGATATAATCTCCGTTTAATAAACAAACTATCCGTTTGCAGGGCCCGGCTTGGCGTTCATAGCCTACCCTGAAGGAATCAAGCAAATGCCTGCTTCACCATTCTGGGCTTTTATTTTCTTCTTCATGTTGTTCAATCTTGGACTGGACAGTCAGGTCAACATTTTTATGTAACAGTGTTTGTTTCAAGTTATTTATTCGTTTATACACACGCCGACACCTGTTCCAACGCGTTAATTAGCATAAGTAATGAGCCGTCGGAAAACACCTTCGAGAAAATCACAACCAAGACCAGCTGAATATGTACGAACAATTCAACATCTTAAAGAAGTGCAGAAGGAAGCTGGGATGCTTGATTTACGAGATGCTGCTAATCAAGGCAAAAAGAAAACAAACTTAAACACACAAGCGGACTCTATTCGGGCAAAGTTTTTAATTAGCTGACATCGTTCCTCACATTTTTCTTGACTCCTTAACACATAAGCTAGTATATATCTGAACTGAACCTTTCTTTTTAATCTGCGTTTGATAATGGCGACAAGATGACGACGAAACGTCATGTTGTAGCGTTTATTTTTCTTTTAAAATGTTTTTCTATATCTTCTTTAATCATATTTATTTGCTGTTTATTTATCTTTATACAGTTTGTGGGGGTGGAGACGGTCACTACAGTGCTAGCAGACTGGAGACCAGGCTTCCGTCGATACAAATCCGTCATTACACTGGGTTTCTGTATCGTGTGCTACTTCCTTGGACTTGCTCACGTGACTCAGGTGAGTCACGGGGGATGGGTGGGGGATAAAATGTAGCTGACTGAAGTAATAAATACTAGTATCGAAACATTTAGCCATTTCAACTTTGTGGAGTGCATGCCCGATCCAGACTTGCATACAAGGTGGACGCCTGGAGTAAAAAGGTGCTCACCCAGATTGAAAGACTTCATGAATAGCACTATGGGAACCCTTCGGCTTTACACCTTTACTCAAAAAGCGGGAGGCCCCCATTTCCTGTCATACCAGGATCCGTTACTGCGTGGTAGATGTTCGCCAGAGAAGCATCCAGTTGCACAGATAACTAAACCTGGTAGTTAGGAAACGCTCAGAAACTCGAAACATCTTTGTCATATTGCTACCTATTCAAATGCACCGAGACTTGTAACATACCAATCACGGAATGTCAACGAGCTGAATCGACAAAATCCAGTAATTCTGTTTTATTGGGTTTTTATAGGGCCCTATACCAAGTGACAAATTTTAAGATTTCTTGATAGTCTATTTCTCTCCTCGCCAGGGTGGAATGTACGTGTTTCAGATGTTTGATTACCAAGCAGGAGGAATATCTCTTGTGTTGATAGCCTTCCTGGAGGCCGTAGGGATCGGATGGTTCTACGGTGAGAAACCAGACACTGAAATTTATTAATTTATAAAAGCTGTGTACCAGGGGTTCATGATTGTTGGGCAACGTGTCTATCACCAAACAATGCAATATCTTGTGCATAGAAAAAGATATCACGAGTAGAGACAATTTTTGGGAGGAGCCAAATGGTATGAGATTCAATGAAACATTTCTTACTTGTCGTTGTTGTTTCTTTTTTTTTTTTCCCCTTTTTTATTTCCTTTGATTAATTTATTCATTTATTTCGTCATCCATTTTAATAATTTTTATAATTTTTTTAGCCATTAATTTAATAATAGCCATTTCATGGTTACCTTGTACCATTTGTATTACAATATAATCTGGCGTGGAATTGAGGCAATTTCTAGGCAATTTGTAGTTTCTGCCGGCAATTGCGTCGCTCCCATCCCAGTATTCCCCTCCAAATCCTTTGAGTACTCTTTTCCTTTTATTTCCGTGAAATGAAACTTACGAGGTTAGATATAAAGTTTCCATTTAAACACATTTATTTTAATTTACAGGAACCGAAAAGTTCTGCACAGATATTGAGAACATGATCGGCCACCGTCCCAATTTGTACTTCCGCCTGTGTTGGAAATACATTTCACCCGTTATTATTGGCGTAAGCATGATATTGATAACTGTCAGTATAGCTAATGAAAGGAGTTTCCGAAAGAGTTAAGTAGTTGGATTAAGGATGCCAATCCATCACAGGTTTTTGACAGATTGAGAGCTCTTTCTTGATTATATGGGTGCTATTGCATAGCTGTTCTAAGTTGATGGAGTGATTTGCCCGATTCATAGCCCATTTCCGAGTTGCCTTAAGCCTCTCTATCAAAGCGAGGCCTGGTACACAACCATTCATATGAAAATGAGTTTAATTTGCATGTGAACGGAATTTCATTTTCATATGAAAGGATGGGCACCAAGACTCGCTTTGAGGCTATCCTGTTAACGAACGAGACCTTAACCTGCTAGACGACTGTAAAAGATTTACCAACCTCGGTCTTGAACTAAATTGTCACTTTAGAAACGAGAAGAGCTCATCTTTCATTGGCTTGTTGGACCGTCACTGAGGACATAAAAAAGACGAAGAGCGATGTCGTCCTCAGTAACGATCCCACAAGCCACCGCGAGACAATACTCGCCCCAGATTTCTTTCCGTTCGTCAATTGGCGAATAATATCCACGGTTTCATTTTTAAAAAAGTCCAAAGATTGTCGCACGGCCGCTTGTTTCATATCTAACGAATTATCACTGATCTTTCTAAATTAAAATTCTTGTAGGTCAGCTAATTTTTTGAGAAACATTATCACCCCTTGGTCTCAGTTCTTTTTCAAACTTAGGAAAGAATAACAGTATTTTCCATTATGACAACTGCAGGTGATTTTCATCTGGTTCTGCGTGGACTGGACAGGCATATCCTATAATGATGTCAAATATCCAGGTTGGGCCGAGTTTCTGGGATGGATGCTGTGTATATCAGCCATCCTCTGTGTTCCAGGATATGCCCTCCATCGATATCTAAAACTCGACTCAAGCCTTACTGTTTATGAGGTAAGCTTTAAATGTCCATCAGTTTCGTGACATGCTTGGGGACTATATCTGTCCATTCACACAATGATTAAATGTGACTGAAGCTAATCTTTGCTATCGCAGTCGTTAAGGCGTTCGCTTCTTTGAGAAACAACGCAGAAAATGTTGAGAGAATTTATAGGAGAGTAATGAGTCCCTAACTTTCCCTGCCGTGTTAATATGGCAGTGGAAAAGGAAAAAAAACGGATTTGTAGGATTTTAAATCCGTTGAAGCATCGGATTGATAGGATGTCTTTAAAACGAGAAAACTGGAACAAAACCATTCAACAATTTTCTCATAGGACTTACATGAGTGATATGCAGAAGTATTGCACCACTGAGTGATGAGCGGTGGGTTAGATTGCTTTCAGTCCCAAATCGACATCTCTGAGTGTGGAATGAAACTGTAGTCATCTTTCAACTTACTCTATTCTTCAAATTAAAACGAGACATTAAGATAACTGTTTAAATGACCATGCCAGGCCGAATTAATAACAAGAACATCGTTATCATTATTTGTAGTTCTCTGCGTCATCAGATCAAATCAACAAACTAACGTATTTGTTACCAAATTTGTTTCTCAAGCGTTTCCGCACAATCCTAATGCCTGACAAAGAAGTGATGAGCAAGATCGAGGAGAAAGAAGGCATCAGACCAAGGTAAGTTGAAGTATTGATTCTCGCCCGTTTCTGCCCACCCTACACCCAGACAACATAGAATGGTCAGTATGTGGAGTAGTGCAAAAAGAGTTACAGGATAAACGTCGAAATGGGCGTGTATTTGCAGTTACTCTTGCCTGACTGACTGACTGACTGACTGACTGACTGACTGAATGAATGAATGAATGAATGAATGAATGAATGAATGAATGAATGAATGAATGAATGAATGAATGAATGAATGAATAGTATAGTATAGTATAGTAGAGTATATCTTTATTACGCCTTACTCTCCAAAGGGAGGTATTGGTCTGTTTACAATAAACTGACTGACTGACTGATTGACTGACTGATTGACTGAATGACTGACATACTGCCTGACTGACTGACTGACTGACTGAATGAATGAATGAATGAATGAATGAATGAATGAATGACTGAATGACTGACATACTGCCTGACTGACTGACTGACTGCCTGCCTGCCTGCTTGCCTGCCTACCTGCCTGCCTGCCTGCCTGAGTGACTGACTGACTGACTGACTGACTGACTGACTGGCTGACTGGCTGACTGCTTGACTCTGTCTCACAGACCGACCGACCGACCGACCGCCTGACTGGCTGGCTGGCAGGCTAGATGGCTGGTTGTCAGACTGGCTGGCTGCCTGGCATTTCTATCGATCGAACTAACGATCGACCCATCCATCCGTCCGTTATTATGTTTTGTATTTTCCCAACCTGTTATTTTTATAATTCCTTACAGGTACCAAAACGTCTTGTAACATGAGGACAGCAGTCACTCTAATCCGAGAAAAAATCTCGTTGCTATATCATTATATCATTACTTTTTAACATTGCTAGCTGATACCTTATCGACAAAAATGCCGAGTTCTCGACTGCATTAGTTCCACTTATAAACTCGCTACTAAGTCATTTGACCTCATATAATCTAGGGAACACGTCACAGTATTCCATATTCATTGTGTACACCGTAATGCCCAGCTGTGACGCTAAAAAATTAGAAAACTTTAGTGAAATAATGAAATGCCCATTTAGATGGTTTGAGAGATTGTCTTCGAGTTGCGAACAGCTTAATCATTTCTCACAATTTCTCCATCCCCGTGAGGCTCAGAAATTACGACGACAATCATAAAATATCCTTGTGTAATATTTTTAAAACCACTAAATAAGGTGTATGTAAGACTTCAGCTCCCTTTCCTGTGTCTGCATGAGCGTTTTCAAATCTGCCAACCTGTGGTCAAGTGCTGTTTGCTCGACTGGGGCGTCAGTAACTTCAGTGTAAAATATTTGTCTTCATAAGGAAAGGGGTAAGCCTTTGTACGTTTACAAAATACATTGTCGTAATGTCTAGGTAATTTCGTGTTTCAAAGACGTTTTGTGCTCAGTGGAAATTGAAAATATTACATTTTAAAAATATGTATATCAGCTTGTCCTTGCCCTTTCCTTCTCTACAGTGGACAATAATTTTACTTTGAAGAATTACTGTACTTTTCAGTCTAAACTGTTCATTATACCCCCTTACGAGAACTCCTATTGATTTCGCATTAGATGTACAGTCCCGTCTTGGCAAATGAGTTTTGTGGCGGAGTGTACCTAGCTTTTTACTGTTAAGTCAGATTAATATTTCAGAGCCGTTTTATGTAACCTACGTTATATCGTGCAAAACGATTACACATGCAGGCGTGATGTTATCAAGGAAAATCTGATCACGAGTATCCTCTATGCTCACTTAACGGATTGTGCAGTGCTAGGCTGCGAAAGCCGGGGTAATTTTGCTGGTTTAAATCAAACCACGTGTACAGTTCAGACATCAATTCTTCGTTTAAATTAATTACATGTCTAGTTTAGTATCTTGTGCAGCTTTTCCCCTAGGCCAACTCCAAAACAAACGCCAGCAGCAAAGTTTTCGTTTAGAAAACTGATTAGAACCGAACTACCATAGCTTTCCTCTCCATGCGCCAACCCGCTCAGTCCAGCGAAGGAAAGTTAGCTTTTGTTCAGTCAAGTCAGTCAAAGGAACATTCGATTGTTTTGTGTCTGGTGTGAATAAGGTATCAGAGAATTTAGTTTGACGTCACGTTTGTTGTCTAATTAGAATTTCAATATTAGATACCGTGCATAACGTGTAGATGTGTAGTTATGTCCTGTTTGTAAAGAATAGTTTTAAACTCTTTGAGTAGTTTACAAAGCAGATCGCGTTAAATTAATTAGAACCAACCGCTTCATCAACCTTACAATACGGTCAAATCCAACTCCAACTGCCTTTAGAAGACGAGCAAGAAGAAAATTACTTACAGAAAGGAGAAGATCAGGGTAACCATTGTGTAACTAAAAGTCACCAAAGTAAGAGAGTTTGTATAGTTGGGTTGCTGTGAATGAAAGTGGATATTGTTTCTGAATTTTACTTTACGCCGAAATGAAAAGATGAAGCAGGTTGCTCTCGAGGGCTATATATCATGAAAACAAAGCCAAGCAACTCAGTTGTTGGCATAAGCCAGTAGAACATGAAAATCAAGTACCGCTAAAATATTGTATAGTTAGGTATTGCAGCTTTTTCCTTTAGTGAGTTATGTAAGTGAATAGCAAATAAAAGTGGGTTCTATCGTAAGAAGACTGTATGACTTGAATTGCGCAAATGAAGAGAATTACACCTGTTATGCTCACTGAAGGCTGGTTTATCACTGAGGGGTTTTGAGAAGCTTTTGTTCATATATAATGAGGTCGTTTATTAGTAAACATATCAAGTTCACAGATGCACAATAATTTTAATGACCGACCCGATGGATTGCACATGATGTCATAAAATTTTGGGTCAGGTAGCAGCTCTCGTAAGGTTTCACATGAATGGCTTGATACCCTTTGAGAGGACAATAGAACAAACAACAGAAACAATGCCCCCTAGCCCTAAAACAGTAACAGCTGATACAATAACAAGACAATAGTAGCTTACGAGAACTGCTACATTTCTGACAATTTTGCAAAGGATGTTTCCTCTTTAATCATCCCACATCATTACTTACATGTAAATCAGCGCATAGCGTTAGAAAAAGGTTTACCTCATTGCAAACCACCTTTACCGACAAGCAAAAAGAAAATGAGATAGTCTCGTCGTTAATTATAACTTTCTCGATCACAACCTTCCGTTGAATCCCATTGGTCGCAACTTCATTTCAGCTCGAGATGCAGAGTAGTAAAGTCCGCCCCAAGTCTTCCAGTTCACCCCGTCGGCGTATGATGTCTGCTGATTGCGGTAATAGACGCCATTGAGATTTGACGACAGGCATGCGTTATACCACCACGCCCCTTTGTAGAATTCTGCGCAGTTTCCGTCAGCAGAGTTGTCGTGGTCTCTGTCACGTGTAGTAAATTGCATGTCATTATGCCAGCTCAGAGAGTCGCCCGCTGTCCCTGAAGACGAGAAAGTTTGTCAGAATTAAAAAGATATGTTTTCAACGCTTATCTTTGGCAACTGAAACAATCGATCCAACCACACTAACCTGTGTAGGAACCTATACCAAGGGTGTAATTCAGCTTTTCATTAGAGACTGTAAAGTCCCTGTAGAGAGCATGCGCGGACTGTAGCATCTTTCCATTTAAGTCCACACGTAACATCATTCGTCCCTGATTGGTCAGCCGGTTTATATTGTCCAGTCCCAACCAATATTCACCTCCAGCCGTACCAAACCCTTCTTTGTATTCTTTCCATTCACGGTAAAAGTCAACCGAGCCGTCCAGTCTCCGCTGGAACACTGTCCAGCCACCACCGTCTGTGGTCTGTTGAGGAAATACCAAAAAATAGATAAAAACGAAGTGATAAATTCTGAAGAAGTTCTGTGATAGTAAAGCTCTTTTATTCTGGCTTTCCACTGCTTCTGTCTCGTTTAACACGAACGCTAATGTAAAGAGAATTTCTTTTCAACGCGTCAGTGAACAAGTACATAAAATGCAGAGGACCCTGTCCACAACGACCATCCTCTAGAGCGGAATTGCAATAGCTGTTTTTAGAGGTGGGTGTTATAGAAAAGTGCTGCGCTGTAAGACAATAGTGCCATTGATCTTAGGGGCTGATCATTATGCGAATTTCAAATGCTGCTTAGAAGCGAGGCAGAAAATATCACACTGACTTCACTGCAACGCTAACCTGGTCACAAAACACTTCCATGGAACCTTCGCCATCGGGATCAATGGTGTAAATACCGTTTCCATGACGACCGGACTTGTAGACGTCAGCACAGTCACGAGGAACTACAGATGAGAAAAAGATGGAAACATGCATCACGACTGAAACTTCTGCTCGATACAAGTATGGTGCTCGGGGGTTTTAATTCCACCGTTGGTACAAAGGAATTCAACCAAAAAGTTAAAAAGTCTCACTTTATCGACTGAATATGTGGCGGTGTTATATAGGCTAGTAAAATTAAATTCTCATAAAGATCTCGGCATCTTGTGATCTCTATTTCCCACAGCATGACACCGAAAAGGAAATGAATCCCCAAAACACGACAAAAATGTCTCAAAACATATCTTATATCGAGTGGAGAACAACACACTACTATTTACTTTTTATCGCACTTAGCAGATGCACTGCCTGATTTGACCTTCAATGAATTGTTTTTGTTTCCAAGACAAGTCCCTTCTCTGTTTGTTTTTAATTAACAGATATGGAAGATAAACTAACGAATTTCATCTCAGAGATCAAACAAACTTTTCTTAAATAAAATAGAGCTATTGTGTATCCATGAGTTTCGAGCGCAGTTTCTTTCTGTTACCTTTACTCTGTTGTCCATTGCAGTTAATGTTTCCCACTTGCCTACTCAAGGCGGCAATCCGCTGCTCCTGTGAATCAATTTTATCATTCAGCTTGCCAAGCATCGAAACGATAGAATCGAGTTTGTTCTTCAACTCCGTGTCAGTTGATCTGCGAGAAAGTCGTGTTCTTCCTTCATAATGATCTGCTCCTTGAACGTCGACAAAGGCGATGAAAAGGCCAAACAGGATAAACGGTACAGAAAAGCCTACCATCGTTTAACACCCTTATCACATTGGTACTGGTCGCAATACAGAACTGACCTACCTCGCGTGATGATGGCAGAATGAATATGATGACTTTAATGAAACGTAACACCAATTCACGAGACGACACAAAGTTCTTGTCAGCTGGTCACGAAAGGAACTGTCAACGGGAATCACGCGAGATAACAACAGGGCATGGGAAACCGCGGAAGTCGCGCGTCTCACGATTCCGAAGCTCTCTCTAGTTTCACTCCACATCTAACTCACTATTTTGTTTTTCGAGCCAAATTCGTTTTCAGAACTGACGCGGAAAATGGCCGGCCTGTTGTCGCAGTTGCAAACGTAACTGATCTGGGAGATCGCCAAAGAATAACTAATAATGATGGAGAATTTATCTCTTGATCATGGGGAGGGGAGTGGTTATGGGGCCGGGGGTATTTAAGAGGGCGTCTCATAACAGCATTTCCGGAACATTATGAATTGACTTTTCTAGAAACTCATTTTTCCCTGCAAATTTAATGGTATGTGGGGCCAGAGAGGTTTTACACGATGAACAACACAAAAAATAAAGTTAACCATGTTTATTGTGTTTCCTTCTATCATTACTGTGTATGTACAATGTCGCCAGCGAGATGCATATATATAATATGTTCATAACATTAAATAAAATTCAGAACCAAGTCTTGAACTTTAACTTGTAGTATTATTCTCGTATTACTGGACCACCGTCACCTTGCATGGACAAAATGAATTTTTCTTAGGATGGTGATGGATCCTGAGTATAAACTTTGGAAAAAAGTGACTACGGTATTTATGAATAAATATCATTTTCTTTCCTTTACGTTTGCTGTTGTTGTTTTTGTTTTTGTTGTTGCTGGTGTTGTTGCTGGGCAGTCTAGACATTTAACAAAACGAAAACAACACTCGCAGAGCGAGAACCTGCCCTAACCCTGCTAATTATTTACTATCATTAGATTTCTTTCCCCTTCCCTTTGATTGGTTTAGCGACCACTGCGTCACTTACAAAGAACGGCCTACGAGAATAGACCATGATACTCTCCTAGCCTCGTGAGCATTGCCATGCAAGCATAGTAGTATTAGAAACACAGTGCTACAGCATGGTAGATCGGAGGAGGTTAAAGGACATTGTTTTCTAAAAATAGGACATTGCAAAATTCTTTTCAAGAGACTTAACATCTTTTAAGGCAAATAAAATAAAACTTATTTACATTTTTCAGGTCTGCAACGATCAATTAAGAAGTCTGTAATGATTCTGACGTCGCATTTTACTCTAGTATTAAATTATAATAAATATCAATTACATAGATATTTGTTAATGAAAGTCTAATTTGCAAGGACTCAGTTTACTGCAAGAGAAGACTAGCTTTGTCGCAAATCACATTTCCTGCCCAAATTATCAATTTGACGGCTTCCCCTTGTAACTTTCCCGCCATCTCCAGCGCAGCGCGCGCAAGCGTTCCTCTGTTTTTTCAAAATCGTGGAAGCCAAAATTGTCGAGAATTTCATAAACGCCCGCAGCTGTTGCAACTTCAGTCATCCATTGACTGAACGACCGTTGCCATTTGGTTCTTCTCTCCATGTGAAGGTACGTGTTAAACAGGATAAGATAAAAATATCTCTCCAGCAAGTAAAGGCTCCTTTTTCGAAACTCTGGAATTTCCCCGCGTCGAGAGCAGACGCCATTACGATACTGGGAAAAACAAACCAGGCCATTAGGATTCCTTACACTTTATGATAGCCTCGCATTGCTCGGGACGGGGGCATCAATTACCGGGGGGGAGAATCCCACATAAAAAGGACGGGGGTGCTCGTCGTACCTTTTAGGGGTTAAAAAAGCGGTTTCCGTACCTCTTAGGGTGTTCAGTCTCAAAAGGTCCTCAGCAGGAGCTTTTGCCGTACCTTTTAGGGTATTGAGCCGAAAAAAAAAATGACAGGAGATAATCTGTTGTTTTAGAATTAGTATCTCGTAGAGGTGAAAAAAATTTCGAGGTACGCCAACAAAACAGCATCTTGGTACCTCTTAATAGTTCTTTTCAAAACTTCCGAACAGCACGCCCGTCCTTTTCATACGGAAGTGTCCCCTGGGATCAGTTAGACAGGTAAGAATTTGCCAAGCGGGGTTACGTAGCCAGTCCTAAAGTCTTTTCTTTGGGGTGGATAGGTAGGCTGGCACCTGGTTGCTAGGAAGCTAGAAGGTAGATAGGTAGGTAGCATAATAACATAACAATTTATTTAACTTCAATAACATGGGGGTGGTTGCCCAAGTCTGCCGAGCCAAAGGCCCATGGTAAGAACACTTGACAGCTAAAATCGAAAATACATGATAAGCATATAAATAAGAAAATTAAGTGACTAGGCAAGAACAGTGACCATGCCAATACAACAGCACCTTCAACAAGGTACTTCACCTTTACGACCGCTTTAACTCCACTCACCAAATTAAAAGTGCTGAAGATAACTTCTCTTGAGTGATAGTGCATTGGTGTCATGGTCTCTGAGATTCTGTCCAGGACATAATCAACCTCTCGCTTCCTCTGCGGACCGCTGGGCAGGACTCTTTTAAGGTGGCGAATAACCTGAAGCAGGATGAAACCAAACGTTTCGTTCACTAAACTAATACTGTCTGAAAGTACTCGTACAACCAGAATCTACACCACGAACTGGACCACGAAACTGCAATTCCCTTGCCAACTGCCCACCGCGCACCTCCTAATTCAGCGCTGTGCACGAAACAGAGATTTCTGTTCTGACTGTCTCAATCACTTCACATAGCAAACTAAAGGATCGATGAAGGAAATGATAATAATAAATGGCAAATACAAGTGATACTCCACTCACTGAAAACTCGCCCAGCGTGTACTTTGCATTGGGAACACAAGCTGGATCTTGCTCGTCTACTTTAGTACCCACTGGAAAACCCTGAAACGTTTAAAATATGCATAAAAAGGTTAAAAGATATATGTCTGAGAAACTTTTGTTTGGACTGTATTTACACGTTCCTAACGTCTCAATCAGTGGCATTGACCATAGAGCGGTTTTCAATTGAGTGTCGTAAAACCAAAGTCAAACCTCTTATTTATCAGTTAGACTACCCAGCCAAACTCAAACCGTAGTTAAACCAAAACCAAAACCAAAGTAAGCCTGATCACTTTCGACACTCAATTAAAAATAGCTCTATTAGTATAATTTAATTCATACGTCATTATTTTAAGACAGTATTGTTTTCAAACTTGTCATGTGCTGAAATGTGAGATCTTGAAATTGGCAGTCAGACAGTAAAGGCAGAGTGCATATGAAAGCAGTATGACTATTAAGCAATAAAACACGTATTTACCTTCTTGTTGCAGTAAATAAGTGCAGCAATTGCCATGCCCGTGGTTGTTCGACCCTTGCCTAGCTCGCAGTTAAAAACAATAGCAGGACCGTCTTCATCTGTGTAAATCTCATGCAAGTTGTTAAGAGTTGATAATATACGGTCAAAGTCCTGCAAGAGACAAAGTACAAAACATACACAGCAATGATTTAACCTTTCGTTTAATTTTAAATAACCTAAAAACGTGTAGCAGAAAGGCGTGAATGATATATTTCATTTATTAAAATTTGACTGTTGTTTAAGAAATAGAAAACATGTACCGTGTTTCTATCGAGTTATAGAAGTACGAGTGGAAGTTTGGGGGAACGAGAAAACGTTCTCTTAAAACATCTTTATTGCTGATTTGCACACACAAAATGTCTGCCTCAGTAGATGTCGTCGTGAATTGTTGGCAACCAAGAAAATTTGCTGTTGTTGATGTTGTTGTTGTTGTCTTTACATTGATTATAACTTAATTACTCAAATTAAGTTGCTGTCAGTATAATTTCAAACTTTACCTTCTCCTCTGGAGCTTTGTCTTCTGGTAAAGGCATTCTAAAATACAACGTCTGTGGATTCTTTGCCATGCAGAGCTCCGCTGCTTCACGCATGGTCAGAACACTGCTGAACTCGTGCACAACAGGCGCGCCGTGGAGATCCTTGTAAACCTGAGCACAAGAATAGCTCGTAACTGATAGAGCTTAGTTTCAAAGTTAACTTATCATTGTCAGTTTCCGGGGTTGCTTAATTCATGATACTTAAATTTTAGCGAGTGCAGAGAACGGACCATTTTCGTATTCTCTTTACCGGACTGGAACTAGCTTACAATGGAAGTTCATGCGGGAGAATATCATTAAAAAAAGATTATCATTAATGTCATTCGCATTTGGCAAGACTCCACGCATTAGCCTCAATTGCAATCGGTCAATATCGGAAATACGAAAACAGTCTATTGCAGTTGCTTAATGGACTACCCTGATCTAATAAACCTTTGCCTTCCATTCACTTGCGTCAAAGTTGATTACTGAAACCCACAATTGCTTTCTAATTATGTTGCTAATATCATGACTTAAAATAAAAACGAACGAAAAAATGGAGCTTCCCTTTCAACTTACCTGTGTGGGTCGTTTCTTTCCTCTCTTTAACAATTCTGATTTTAATTCATTCTCCTTGTGCTGAAAATTTAGGAAGAAAAATTTTAGACGCAAGGCAGACAAAAGGTGTACGAACTTCACATTGAAAAGCATCCAATAAGAGTCTTCGCCACATTTGTTTTAAATTCAAAGCATGCGTGATAGTATAGGCACATCCTCACCTCTACCTCACTAGTGTCCAGTCCTCTAAATGGCATATGTTCGGTTAAATTAGAGAGCTGCAGTTTGGGAGGAAAAAAAAGATATTTTACAACTCATAATAATAAGTCATAAGAGAGGTAATGCGATTAATTTGACTGGAGGAACGCTGGCAAAATCGACTCTTCAGCAAATGAAGCGTTAGTTCGCTAAACTAAATGATCAGACTTTTTCTGGAAAATCGCTAAGCCACCTCATTTTATATGTTCCACCATCCCAAGGGCATTACTAACATGAAATGGCATTTTTGATCAGTCTTTTTATTTTGAGCTGCATGTTGTGGTCATTGTGTTCTCACCTCTCTCGGACTATACGTGCTGCCGTCACAGTCTACAGCAAGGTCTTCCCTCAAGTTGAAAAACACAACTTTAGGATGAAGACACTTCGGACCGAGAAGATAGCTTGAAACACGATGCAGTCCCTGCAAAGAGAAAGGCGGTCAGAGATTTGCGGACGATTAACGATCAACATGTTCCAGAGAATTTAGTACTGCTAAGGTGATTACCCATTTTAACGTATACATATATGTATGAATGGATTCAAGAAAACCGTGTCCATGAAAAAATGACTTCTTTTGTTCCAGATGACCTATATGCATTCTGTTTTCACGACTCCTAAAAACCTCAAAATCACTCCAAGCGATGAAAACAAAAATAGAGAAGAGCACAAAAAGGAGATAAGGGAGTGAAGAGAAAGAAGACAGATATTCCTTTCAATTTGGCATCGTCTACTTTGGCGAGAAAAAAAGCGCTTGAGAGGGCGAGATTTTTTTTACACTGTTTTCGTAAATCTAGAGACATGTATTTGCTAAGTAATTTGGTTTTGGTTACAGCTGTTGTTGCTGTTGTTGTTGTTATTATTACTATTATTATTGTTGTCGTTTGTTTTTCTTGTCGTTGTTGGTGTTATCGTCCTCTTCGTTGATGTTGTCATTGTTGTTTGTTATCATACCTGTCTTGACGGTTGGCACATGCCATATATCGGTAATCCGGGAACTTTACGAAAATTTGAAACCTGAAAACAAGAACATTAAAAAAAAAATTCTTTTTCATTTGAACATTTATCAAAGTTAATTGAGAGTATTATAATAGGAAATACCTCAAATTCCCGCTGGGTGCTCAAGACATCCAAACTATCTTGTTCATCAGAAACCTAAATATAAAATAAATACACTGAAACGATCAAAATCGTTCTTCATAAGACAGAAAAGTAATTTTTGTTTTACCTCGCATTGGATTATATATTGGAATTCATAAAATTGTGCTACTTCAAACTCTCTTCCTTTTGTTCTCTTATTGACTTTTATTAGGGAAAAAAATTCAAGAGATATGGCGAGATATGTCCAGATTGTTTCTTTGGAAGTTTTTTTTTTTACTCTCGCCCTAGTTTCCTTGTTTCTTTACGATTGATACAACCTGCTGGTAGGATACTCCATCGACCCACACACCCAGGAAGTTAGCGATGGCCCGCACGCAAGACTCCGGTTGACTACGTTACTGATTTAAATCTCTCTCTAAAGGGATACTGATAAGCTTTAATTATCTTTAAACGATATTCGCGTAAAGGTCAAATTACCAGGCAAGTTTGATTTTGGTATTTAGAGATGAATTCTGACGTCACACCCTTCTCCATGACGTCAATATGACTCAGCATTCTGTAGAGCCAAGGCCTCTGCTGCATCCACTTCCGGAACGTTTGTGAAAACATAAGTGGAAACTAGGTGAAAGAAAGAGAAAGAAAGTCAATAAGATCCCATGTCTTGCAATGGCCAAGTGACACCGAAACATGCAAACTTTACCGTGAAATAAATGGGATATATTCATTTCAGGTTACTTATTTACTAGCGCTTCAGGCCATATAACAATTTCTTTCGTACGTCTCATTTTATCGACTTTTTTCTCACCTGCTCGTGCAAGTATGCATTGAAGAGGATCAAAAAGAAATATCGCTCTAAGGCACTCAGACCTCTTCTCAACCAGTATTCACGAGCACTTTGACCCTGGGAAGAAATTGAGATGGTTATTGCATCAAGACACGACCAACTAAGGCAGTGTAGTAAACAATTTCAAACACTTTGCTTTGCTGCTGTGGTCCTTTATTTAATGTTTGTCTTTTGAAACTGAATGAAATAGACTAATTTTGTGTTTGTTTATTTGTTTGTTTGTTTGTTTTTCTGCTATTTTAAGAGATTTGGCATAGGGGAAAAGTTAGTGAATAAATTTTTCGAACTCAGTATTGACAAAACTAGAAAATATTTCGTGACGACAATTTGAGGGTTGTTGGTATGATGGGAAGCCGAAGCCACATGATTTGCAGTTACATGTTTCTGTTAGAAGTCGAACACCGTTTCTCAACTCAAACTTTCATAAACCTGTGTTACCCTAAAAAACGTACCTCGATTTTATAGTCATCCTTTATCTCCTCCAGTTTACATTTGCACTCATAACTGACAGATCGCAAGTTCATGACGTCACAGCAGATGTCAATCACAGAATCCACCTTAAAAACACACAAAGCATCAGCAAAGAACGTTCACTTATTTTTCCTGGTATGAAGGTAAATAAGTAGCTACATTCATTGTGTTACCACTGATGAATCATTTCATAAGACATTAAACAGTAAACAAATTAGATGTTGATTGAAAAGGTAAATTAAGGGCACAGCTTCTGTGAACGCCGGCGTCAGGCTTATTCACTTCACAGTGAACAGGAAAAGGATACCTCGCCTGCCTACCCAGTTACATAGTTTTCTGGACTTTTTCCGCACGGTTCCGCCGAGTCTATCTTGGAAAACTCTGTGGAGGAGCTGGTCACTAGGTATTTTTTGAGAAAAATAATTGACCAAATCCTTGCTACCGAATCCGAAGATTTTCTTATTCCGATTCAAATATTGGACATTGTTCTGTCATCTTGGCGGTATTAGATTGTGTCATGTACAGCTTCAGTTTACTACATTCCTTGTCGTGCTTACCATCCCCCGCAAAGATTTTTTTTTTACCTCTGCAAAGAAAATAATCCCTTAAACTAACTATCTCCTGTCTCACTCAGATCGTACATATGTATGGCATTTTCCGTTCTCCTGTCAGATCTCTTCTGTCGTCTTTTAACAACGGCTGCAGACTTCAAAGCTCTTATCATTGTTATCAGCACTTGTTCAATATAAACAGAACACGACAACCTTGTGGATCATTCAGCATACCTCTTGTTTTATCTTTTTTCCACCTGGCAGATACTTCACAAGCTGTTGGATTATTCTAAATTCTCCCCTCTCAAGGTTTGGATTGTTTTCGTCGACAGGCATTGGAATGTGGCTGGCAAAACATCGAACAATAATAGGTCATTGTACGAACCATCATAAAACATTGTGCAGGGAGCTAATTTATCTCTCAAGCTCGAACTCAAATTTCAATATATAGAGAGAATCAGTTTCAAAATGTAAAATTCATTTAATAAGTATATGAATGAGCTCCATAAAGAATGACTCACATTATTTTACGGGAACAAAAACTAAAAAATTGCGCCGTTTCCAGGAGCCATAATCGGGGACGGAGACCGTAAGCGCGCGCCATTTCTAGTATTGGGGTTGTCCCCATGATATGGGACAANATGGCGCAATTTGTTCTAAAAATAGAAAAATTGTGCCATATCATAGGTGCGCGCGGATCCCAAGGCTTACGGTCTCCGTCCCCGATTATGACTCCTGGCCGTTTCACAATTTGCAAACTGCTCATGGAAAACGACAAAAGAACATAGGCATGCAGGCCTTCGTCTTAAAGTGTTTATAGAGGTTTCTAATTGTTTTTTAGTTAAAATTTTAAGTTGGTCTCCCTTAAACACAATTTTTGTGCCCACAACTTTATCGAAATTTAGCCACGCCCTTGAAGGTCATGTGACCAATGCTATTGCACTTACTGTGCCTCGGATGGAAAACCAGTCCTGTGTGACATGATTAAACAGCCAATCACCATGCCAGTAGTGGTGCGACCCTGGCCGACGTGACAGTTGAACACCATGGCAGGCAAGGGAGCCGACGAGTTGCTGTCGAATAGCTGAGGAATGTCTTTAATGGCGCTGATGAACTGGTCAAAATCTTGCTCTTCGGGAGCATTGGTGGCAGTGATAGGGATCCGAGAATATCTGCGAAGAAACACCGTAGTAACAATCCCGAATTCCACCTGCAGCCGCGCTAAGCCTCCTACACAGACGTCCGAATGGCTTGTCACCCACTCCTTCCCAACGTTGCAGAGAACGGATTGCGTGACAAGCCCAAAGAACGTCTGCTTGGCGATGGTCCATTAATTCTTTTTTAAAAGGGGGGGGGGGCATGAATTGTTTTCCTCACCTCTAGATTGTGCATGATTTTTTTGATGGGCAATAGCTTGAGCAAGAATGTTAAAACATAAAAAATAGGACCTGGAGAGGAGAAAGCACTTGCTCGATTTTTTACCCCATAGCTCCCCTTGCACGACGGTCCGTCCCTTTTTGAATAATTGTTTAGTATATCGGGAATAACTTTGTCTTTAATATTTCACAACGTGCGATCTCTACGTTGCGAGAGATTTAAGACAAAGTTATTCCCGCTTCTCTAGGTATGAATAAAACTAATGTGTGACAAAAATGCTGCGAAAAATCTGGAGGTGCAGGACACATTTTCACGATAAATATACAAGCTTGCATCTGCCTTACCTAAGGAAAGGTGTGAGAAAGATCTGTCTGCTATAGATTTCATCCAACACACACAGGTCTTCCTCGTATGTAACCTTATATGGGTGGGGCTCGTCTTCAAATGTTTCCACGTTGTTGTAGAAATAAAATTTTCCACCTTCGTCGATTGAAAACCTAATTATCTGCAACAAAAACAAATCAAAAAAATATTGTTTTCTCGGTAGTAAAGTTTCACAGGTAAATACGAGAGTAAAATAACGCGCGTACCTCTTCTCTTATTTTGAGCTCTGTGTCAGCGAGTTCTTCGGGCTTTACTCCGTGATTAGCGATGTTACCTTTCAGACTGTTCGGGTCCCGGGGCGAGTAAGGCACAAAGTCATGATTGAGCCCCACAAATATCACCGGCTCCTCTCGCAAGTTAAACGACACTATCTCCTGTAGACGCAATTAAATACATTTTAAAGTAATTATTCCACGAACGAGCGTTGGATATGAGATGGTAGATAGCCAACGAGGCCCGTAGGGCCGAGTTGGCTATAACCAATCTCATATCCAACAAGCGCGAATGGAATAANCAAAAAATATAGAAAACTAAAAAGAAAATAAAAATAAAAACGCCCCAAGAAATCACGCATACGCTTACCATATTTGTAGAGCATGGTATATTGTCTCATATACCATGATGCCTAAGCCAATAAAAAAGCTTGAATGATTATCCAATGATACCGTTTTTAATCATGTTAATTACACCTAAACATATATGTAGCTTTTCGGTACGATTCGGCGGTATGTCAGACGAGTTTTGTTAAGCCGTGATTCGTATTTTGGTAAGAAGCAGTCGAACCATGCTCATGTCGAGACCAAACGAGGTTGATATGCCGCGAAAACTCCCGCGATATGTGTTGGGACAATGAATTGATATCGCGAGAAATGAGAACAGTAATAAAGGCTTGGCTAATTGCGAATTTAATTACGGTTACGGTGGATATCATTAGAGAACGTGCTTTGATATGACTTTCCAACATAATCAAAACGGTTTTCTGTTGAGTGCAAAACCCAAACCAAAAATAATTTCATTTCAGTGTCAGGCCTGTCATAACAAACACAAATATCCGCACAATGAAAAAGCATACCAAAAATTCACATCACGACTGATTTTAAGTTTGCCATTGAATTTGTTAGAAAAGAAACACAGCATGTTTGCAATGACCTTTTCAAGTCATATTCCACGTTTGCTATTGGCTCTTTTCTAGTTTATTCGCAATTCAAACCAAAGCCTAAATATCCTTAACAGCTTTTTTAAAACAAATAGTTTGCAATCACTTCATTCAAATAACAGTTGATTAATAACAGCTATTGTCAAACAAATATAAGGTTCAAGTGTTGTGTCAGTCAATCTTAAACTGGTTGAAATAAATAGATTTTTGAATAGGTGTGGCTGGAAAATTGATTCTCTGCTCTACTCTCTCTTCTCTGTTTTATCTTGTTCTTCGCTTTTCATCGAAACTCAAGTTATTCAAAATTAAACGTCGATGTTCTAAATGATAAAAGAGCTTCAAATTTGTTGAAACATGCTGAAGCTACTGAACATTTTACTGAGTTTCTTCTTGCTTCCAGAATAATTACTTTTGATTAATTCTTTTGTCTTTGTAGGATATTGCTACGGTCGAAGGGTGGCAGTTCATGGTGTAGATTAAACAGAAAAGAAAAGTTGACAATTTTAACAAAAGAACTGCAGGGAGGTTCAGAATTGCGATATCGCCAAATCAATCGCAGATTTGAAGGCAGTCCTTGGAGAAAATAAGTTTTTCTGGTTTTTGTAAGCTAGAGGAATCAAACCACTCTAAATTAGATTAAATGTCGGTGAAATTTCTAGTTTGATAGAGTATTTAAATACTGAAAAATGTTGCAACAAAGACAAAGATATTTAATTCTGTCGTTCGCAGGCCAGTTCAAAAAATGCACCTGCAGTCAAGGAGGTTTTGTAATTATTTTTCATTTAATACCAAAATATTATTTTATCAAATGTAATACCAAACTACAACAGAGGAAAATGAAATGAGACATTTCCTAATTCTATTGATTGGCAGAAAAACATCTGTAGGATTGACGCACATTGGAAAGAAGGTTTACGAACCGTGCAAAAAGCGGTTTCTATGCATGTTGTAAACAACCGGTCAGCTTAATTTAGGACTTTGAGATCATGGGGCATCGACCTTATCTCAGTTCCATGACCATTTTATAATTTCTTGATCCGCGACTTTTGTTATATCGCAAGTTAAATCAGAAGCATATCACCATATCACCAGTTGTTTGTTTTTTACAAGCGGTATTTTTTTTTTTTTTTTTTTACCATCTTCACGACATCGTCTTTAATCCGCGACTTCTATTTTTGTAAACATTTGTTCTTTGAATAGCACACTTCTTTTAAGAGAGCTTGGGTGATATAATAAAGGTTTTAGCAATGACGATTAGCCAAAAAAGCACATAAATAGCTACAGCCGCGACCAGGAGTGTGGACAAGTGTTTTCCGTTGCATTATTTTGCGTACGTCTACAGCCGTAAACGGCGAATTTTAATAAATTTACCTTCGTAAAATAAAATTGATAAAATGTAAAGGCCACCGGCGGGTGTGCGGAAAAATTGAACCTCATTCAACTTTTTCTGAAGACGAAATTTGGCCTCATATTGTTTCCTTTGTATTTGAGTGCGTTAGCGCACGTAAAAATAGCGAAACACTGGTAATCAAGCTGAAATAAAGAACGCTCCAAAGTTTTCAACCGCACGAAAATTGAAAACCAAAAGAAGGGTTGTTCTAGCGGATCTTCGCAAAAGCGCTCAAAGTTTATCAAATCAGAAAATAGGAAGACAATTTTTCCGAAAGTTGCAGACGATATAACCCATGTTGCCAGGCAACTGATCTTCGAATGAAGCCTCGTTGACGTTCGTTTGCCTTGTTACGCACATCAATGTATGCAGAATGTCTGCTAACTCTTGTAAACAATGGTGCTTTTGAAATTTGAATTTTGACAAGGATACGATAAAGCCAGAAATTAAGCTGTAAAATTTTTATTGCTACGATTATTTTCTTTACACTGGTGCTCGGCCTAACAAAACAATTTGGCGGCTTATCTGCCGTTTACAGCGTGTTTTAAATCTGCTCACCCCTACAGGTTATAACTAAATCAATAAGTGTTAGACTGCAAAAAACCTTGAAATCAATTAAAATCCTCGCGGATTAGCGTTGCTATGAGAACTTCGCAAAATAACACTAATTTCCCGCCACTATGATCTAGTCCGCTGCGAAAAAGAAAATAAATTTAAGGAACGATCCCTTCCTACCGAGCTTCAGGTAAAACAAATTTAAAACTGAAAAATAGAGCGTTTTTTTTTTTTTTTTTTTTTCNTTTTTTTTTTTTTTTTTTTTTTTATCCCGAAAGACGATCGAATGTTCTTGACGTTTGATTGACAAAAACAAACTCTACACCCAATCAAGTTGTTGTAGAACGCGACGGCTATTTTCAGTGTCCTCCCACTACTAAAAATTATTTTCCTTACAACGACGAAAGACACTACAAAAGCAAATATCATTTGCAAATTTCTCGTTATTATTTTCATAACAATAAAAAATATTACTGCATGCTGTTCTCCTATTCAGCATTTTATTACCAATGTCTGATATTCGCCCTTTCTCGAGAAAGGAATAATTGCAACTTTCCTAAGCGAAAACGAAATTTTTCAGATTTCGAATTATAAGAAAATTTTATCTGCCTCGTAACAGAAGTTACTGGCAAGCGCGATATATATCGTGACTAAATATGTTATCTTTAGCAACCGTAATCGATATCACTGAAAAATCGCCTGGCCTTTGCAATTAGTTTAGTCGCGCGCGCAAAAATGATGCAAATCTTTTTCAACTGGAGGCGAAGTATGTCTCTTAGAATGCGAAAAACTTTGATATTAATACACCATGCTACTTGAAATTGGATTACAATAGCAATTCTAAAGCTAGTGATTTTTTACTTTTCTCTTGAGAAAAGAAAATAGACCCACAATAACCTCATAGAAGAGCTACTATCTGCATCGCTTCGACGAAATGTTGAATTAAAGTTATTCAAAATCCTTCTTACCTTGTGTCCATTTTCAACCAATGATTGAATTACGTGAGCTAACCCATCTCTTGACGGTTGACCCATTCCATAAACAGGATAAGGACCGCAGCTCTTGCGGAAATTCGGTGCACCATACTTGTCCAAGGTCTTGAGCTTGTCGATTCCTTCAAAGTGATCTTTTATTAGGAAATATTTGTCTTGAATAAGTCCGTGCACAGGAAATCCTTCCTTGATGAAGCCTCGTTTTCGAATAAGTGGTGTATTTGTCGGCTCATAACTCAATGTAATGAAACCGTTTGAGTGTTTTTTCGATATAGAAGACGCTTTCCTCGATGATTTGTCCTCTGTCGACGGTATGGAGCCTTCTTTTACATTTGGATTTGATCCTGCCTGTGATCCGCCACTGCTAGCTCCAGTTCCCATCTCCCAACATCGAAAAAGACCTTCAAAGCGACAGACACAAAGTTACGATCGATAAAATTTAACTTTTGCTCCCTGGACAACAAACGAGCGAGCGATCTTTTAGCTGCAACGAGCATTTGATGCTCGTTTGAAAGAATGATGCTCATTTCTTCCGCTCAAGTTTGACAGCTGTTGTCCAAAATTGACCAATCGTAGAGCTGTTTCGCTGTATGAAAGTCAATAAGGTACTGCAGGTGGTTTGAGCACTAGTAAACAAAACAATTGCACGTGGCTACGAACAAGGCCAGTGTGTACTTAAACTTTTTACAGTAGCTCGAAACTAACTCAAATAGGAAACTCGATAGATCTTGTTCCGTCTCGCGGCAACGAAACCTTCAACTCATGCAAGGTTTTCCTAGTCTCTTTCTTTATTGTCAAGGGGTCTCGCCATTTCACTAATGGATTAAATGACTGAAAGTTTGTTTTTCATTGTTGCCCTTCGCTTGGCAAACGCTTTTTAATCAAAATTGTTCCAAAATAACCTCGAAAGATAGTTCTAGATCCCGAAAGTACACTAAAGGACGGCGCCTATTAACCTGAACCGAACATCTTTGGTGGCTAATTACCATTTGTCGTTTATTTCACTTAGTCGACGTTTGTTTACAGCTGCCGTCTAAAGTAGAAACTTCGTAAGAATTATCAACATTTATTGTCTATAGTCAACTTCTATCAGTTATTTTGACGGAAACTCTGCAGTGTTCCAATATTGATCGGCACTTTTCTCCAAGATACTTGCAATTAACTTTTGTTATAAATGCAACTGCATTAGTTAGTGACCACTGGTTAAATGAAAGCTGTTTAGCAGTATTTTGCTCTGCGTAGTGTTTATTATTATGCATCAGTCAATTCCAGCAGTGCCCATCCCCCCCCCCCCCGGGCTAACCCCCGGGCATTAGCATTTTTTTAA